GCTGTGACTAATACCCAGTGCATTTACTTTTCACAGAGAACATACACAGAGCAGCAGTTCTGGCTGATTTAAATTCACACTTAATAACCTTCAGTGTTTGGGTCACTGTTTAAATATCACACATTGTTTTTCTGTTTGGGCAAAAAGGTTACCTACTTGTTGTATCTAGATGATGCAAGCCTGTAGAAAAGTGCTTGGTACCCAAAATATAGCATCACCTCCCCGTTCCCATGGTAACAAGACAGGAACCCTGGCATCAAGTGACGTCACTCCTCTACGGTTCTCTCTCTCCTGCCTCATCATTCTCTCTGACTGCTCCCCGTCTCCAGCACACTATCACTGTTGTTCATCTGCTTCTTCCATGACCTTAGTGCTTTCCCAACCATGAGAGACTACAGTTTCTATGGAGATAATGACCACACTATCTCATTAATGAAATTAAGTCAAGACTCTACACAGACACACACACTCACATCTGAGCAGATGGTAAATTCCACAAATATCATCATTTAGCTTCTGCAGATCACTTAGTGTTTATGGTTTTGTAAACCAAGCAGCTGTTGCACAAACAGCAACAAAGGCTGATTTGTAGCAGAGATCAATACTGAGATGTGACTGAACAATTTTAAAAACTGTAATGGTCCAAGTAGTTATTTTGCATTAAAAGTATTAAATAAATTAGCCTATGCAATGTTGATACTTTCTCCCTCTACTAAAAAACTATTATTATGCTAATATTAAAGCTCAAGGTTCTGGCTGAGGTTGCCTGAAGTTAAATATTCTTTATCAAATACAGCAGTGCAGCAATGTCGTCTACACACCATGTTGATGTGTTTACCCTCACCAAAATATATTAAGTCACACACTGCCAATCAATGAACCACTTTTTTCAAATTCATTTCCTCACCATTTAAAGGATGCGCAAATACCTGAGAACCACCCGGTCATATTTGAAGTGCGAGTGGGGTAGCAGCAGAAAATGAAAAAGTTTAGTTTCCAGTGTTTGAAGCTGGAGGACTCTGTTCCAAGAGAGGATTAAAAAAAAAAAGGAGATGAAAAAACCTCTTGCTTCTATAACACTAATCACACTCTTCTGCATAGAATAAAGGTCCAAGTTGATGTAACACCAGTGCAAGGCAGAGTGAGTCATGCACAATGTCCTGCAGGAAATAATAGAAGTGGGAGGAAGATGAATTAGAGGTGACTGTGGATGGTTTGTGTGTATTATTGATTCAAGGGCAAAACCATTATCACGACAATATGGCTGACCTTAAGGCAAGTTGGAAGGCAAAGGAATCCATCTAATACCAGCCTGTACGGACCCTGACATTCATACTTAACAATTAAATGACTCACTGCCTTGAAACCATTAATGAACCTTCTAATCTTTTGACTTCTTCATTGCTAGTTCACACAGGAAATTAAAACAAGGCAAATATTGCAGCTAATATTTTTGACCTTTGATATTCCTCTAATCGTTTTCACATTTTGGAGCACATTTTGCACAACCATGACAGTCAGAGCTGAAGATCCTTGAAGTGCTGCCAATACCCCGGAGGCCGAAGCTAGAGAGCAGTTAGCCCTTAGGATAGTCACAGTTAAATGCGTGGTTTGCAGCTAGGCAGCAGGAGATGGATCATCTCTACCCTACATTCTATATAACTGGTATATTTGAAAGTGGGAAATGTGCTCTCTTTCTTTTATTCCAGATTTCTGCAGAAGCACTCAGGCTAAAAAAAGAAAGCATTTCTTTCTCTCCTTGTCATGCTGAGAATGAAGCGACTGACGTATTATCCAGACTGCAGTTTGTATGCTGCCACTGTTGTTTGGCACTAAATGCATCTTTCTGGAGCGGACATGTTTTGTAATCTTAAGTAATGTGGGCTTTGTCAAACTACCTGAGGGTTTCACTGAAGGAGATACAATGACTCCTGTGGCCTATCTGACAATCACAGGTATTCCAGGTTATGAATTTCATGTAACAGAAAGGAAAGAAATGAGAAGCTAAATCAGAGAGGAAGGGAGAGCAATATTTTACCTTTCACCTGTCACCCAGCTGTGCAGTTACATAAGCCAATTCATAGCTGAAAGCGCTTTCTCCTTTGTGACTAATTACTGCATGTATTTGGAAGTTGAAAAGCTGGAAAACAGAATGAACTGACATATCACACACACACATATACTGTACATCTCCTCTCTCTCCCTCACACCCACAGACACAGAAGGACTGAGGCTGATGTAATGAAACTACCCTGCAATAATGGGGCATTATTAAATCTTCATGTCAAGAGACCACACCGTCTATCAGCTATCCTGAGCCCACTCAAATGATGAGTCTATAAAATATTAGAATACAGAGAAAATGTCCATCATAGTTTCTAAGAAACCAAAATGTCTTGTTTAGTCCAGTATAATATGATGGTCTATATAACAGAGAAAAGCAGTAAAACTTTTCATGCCATTTCTTTCATTTAAAAAAAGTACAGTAATAGTTAACTGATTATGATAATAGTTGCAGATTATTTTTCTGTTAATCAAGGAACACAATAAATATAATATATCAAGTGAAAGTGCCACATGCATTTTGACTCCTTTCTATGGCATTACTATTGAAAAACCAAACAAAAGAAAGTGCACATATGAACAAAAATTTGCTGATCTCCCGTCTGTACACAGTAATTCGTTAATATGTGCTGGGCAGTTTAAAAAAGTAATTGCAGTGTAATTCACATGTAAGTCATGGTCATTCACTGTGGACTGGCAGCTTTACTGTTGTGTTCCATGTCTGTAAGTGATCGCCAGTGCACTTCACCCGCCATAATCTCCTGTCTAATGATCCACCCAAGCGACCGTTAAGGGAGGAACTTGTTATCTAGGTAACTGTGTTTAGAATTCAATACTCGGTATTCATTTCCTGCAAACCAACATGAGCCAAGTGAAAGCTTAAATGGAATTATTGATATCAAACCTGCAGTGTGGCTAGCATGTGTCGACTGCATGTGGGATTTCTTTAATCAGATTTGAGAATGCGCTGAGACACATTTCCACATTTTGCATCTGTGTGCTGAGAATTCTGATTAAATTATTTCCGATGTCGGGTGGACTTGAAATGAAATAATCAACTCTAACAAGGCCTCACTGGTTGGTAATGTTTCCTCACCTATGTGCAGAGGGGAAACTGCTCAGTGTTGGGTCTAACCTTCATTTTCATGGAAATGCAATCCGACTGCAATGAAAATTAAACTTTATCTCTCACGTAAACACACATAAAACATTTAGAGCTGGAGCTATTTTCTGTATCAAATAATCTGTTAATTATATTCATGAATAATTGGAACGTGCTAGGTCAAAAAAATGCGCCTCACAATTTCTCAGAGCCCAGTATGACCTCAGTATGACAACAAAATGTAACATAACTGACTCACACACACTCACATCCTCGCTCTATAATAAATAAAATCAATGGATGACTCCTTCACCACATACAACATACATTAACCTGAGACATTAAAACAGACTGACTGAAGTAGTACTGGTTGGTATCTTTGTTGAGGGAATTGCATCACTGCTGTAATATTACATCTGGACTATGAGCACTATCTTTAGAGCTTTGAAAATAAATGTGAGCTAAACTGAACTGGGGGTTATTAGATTGGAGACCTCTCTGAAGATTAAATCAGATCTGAGGAGACATCCATTTCTACTGCAGTCACATCTACCCAGACATCCAGACATGTCTGGCATGTGCGCAGACTGATTCTGCAGGGTGCTTCTCTGTATTGTCTTCACTCTAAT